TGGACCTGGCAGTTTGAAACTCATGCTGGCACATGTACATGTATAAAAAAAATCCTAGGGGAAAGAATGGAGAAAGGATTGTAGCATGGTCATCCCACCGGGGGTGGGGGGGTAATTTATTATTTTCCCTCTCTCTGTCTCTGCCCTCTCCAGTGAGCACACGTGCCCTATGGCTAAATAAATAAATGAATAAAACCATGCTGAGCACACATGCATACAGGCCCAAAATATCTAGAGGAGAATGGAAGAGAAGGGATTGCAATGTGGCCATCTCCGGTCCGCCCCTGCCACCGACTGTACTTTCTCACTGTCTTTCTTTGTCTGTCTCTCTTTGTCTTTCTGGTGAGTGCACATACTATATAGGAAAATGAGAGAATGAAAGAAAGAATGAAGTACCAAACTGCTGCTTTGGAGTATACTGTCAGGGAAATGCTGCCCATCACTCATCTTCAGAATAAGGCAAATAGAACATCCAACTGAGTTTTAGGACCATCAGCAGAGTGGTAGCGACACTTGTGCCTATTCCTCCTGCTTTCTGATCACTGGGGCTCGTTTTGATAAGGCAGCTACAGCTGAGAAAAGCCAATGTTTTCATCTCCCCTCTTATCTCAATAATTTAGGCTCTACTCATAATCTCAGCTATCATCATCCATTCCTTCTGCTTCACTTTTAGCACCTGTATGCTGACCTAAGCCTGCTCATTTTCTGGAGTTCTCGACCTCAGTAAATGGCAGCATATTTGCTCACTGACCACAGACAGAAGTCAGTCTCACTCTTGAATCTCATTCTTCCATTAGCATTCACATCCAGTCAGTCCCTAGGCCTACCATTGAAATGTTTCTAGACTAAAACAATTTCTTCAACATATTTTGAAGATGTATTTCTCTTTGAAAGATGGTTCTTTTTTTTTTTTTTTTGGAGAAGTTTTTGCTATAGGGGTGTGGGTTTGCCAGAAAGACAAAGAGAGACAGAGAGACAGAAAGCGAGAAATCACCCTCCAGGGGGATGGCCATGCCGCAATCCCTTCTCCTCTATTCTCCTCTTGGGATCTTGGGCATGCACGCACACGCGCCTGGCGTGTTTTAAGCCACTGGGTCCCAGACACGAACCACGGTTGACCATGTGGTAGTTCAGCCACATAGCCATTATGCTAACTGCCGGCCCCGCTCATTCATTTTTAAACTGGATATTGGTTCCAGGACTATATCCCCACCACCATGAATACAAAAATCAACCTTTCTATTTTTTTTTCACTATTTTCAATCCATTGTGGGCAGAATCCATTGATGCAGTATCAATGTTTGTATCCATTGATACTGCATCAATGGGTACAAACAGCTGACTGTGTTTTTCCCATCATTGAATTGTCTTGGCAATCTTGTCTAAAATCAATTAGCCATAAAGTTAAAGCATTATTTAGGGACTCAATTCTATTCCATTTATATGTGTGTATATATACACACACACACACATACATATAATATGTAGAATACATATATAATATTATATAATATGTATATATATTTTTTATATATATATATATATACATATATATATATATATATATATATCCACACATACACACACACACAAACATATATAAGCCACCAAATCCAAGACCCAAACTGTGCTCAACCAAGTGGGAATCCAGTGACATAACCATTATGCTATCTGTTGGTACCCAAAAAAATAATTTTAAAAGATGTAAAAGACTTATGGTAGAAAAAAAGAGTAAAGAGGATATAGACATAAAAGGGAAAAACATATCAATCATTTAGTTACAGAAATTTATCTTTTTTCCCTTAGGTTTTTCCCATAGAATGCATCTACTTGCCAGAGAGAGACAGAGAGAGAGAGAAAGTGAGAAATCACTCCTCCCACCAGGATGAACAGTCATGCTGCTATCCTTCTCCTCCATTCTCCTCTCGGGATTTTGAGCATGCACACACTTGAACCCAAGTGTGAATTTCAAGCCAGTTGGTCATATGGGAGTCCAGGACCTTAACTACCATGCCACTTTCTGGCCCCAACATTTCATTCTTAACAGTAATGTAAAGACAGATACTGATAAATTTTGATCTGGGATCTAGCTTCAGTTTAGGCACTACATCAGGTTCTCAAGAAAGTTATGTTTAATCCATTAATTACAATTACAACATTGTTTCCTCATTCATATTTTATTCTTTATGAAAACTGTATAAGAGACTGAGTAAATAATGGTAAGTTTAGGAAGCTTCCTTAAATAATGAAGCTCTAACGAACTGTGGCCAGAAAAGAGACCAGAAGGTACAAACAGCTGTGTGGAATTGCAGCCGAGAAAGGAATTCTCAGCAGCAGATTGAAAGTTGGCAGTCTGGTGATAAGGGGTCACTAGAGGGGACACTTTAAATAGCAGCAGAGGGATGGAAAGGTACACATTAAAAAAAAGGGAGAGGGACAGACACCTATTTGAACTTGTTTTGTTAAGTCAATGAACTTAATGAGCTGACTGCTTTGAAAGTGACATAGATCTGAGCTGCCAGAATGAGATGTCTTGAAAACTCAAAAGAATGATTTTGGCACAGAAAGGTGTAAACACAGAGACTCCTATAGTTTTAGAAAAGTGTGGAAAGTATCCCCTATTGAAATACAAGTTGGAATGAGTTATTTAATGTAATCAAATTTGGTATCTGTCAAAGACTGAAAGTTCAAATTTTAATAGTCAACCACCTGAGTTATAAAGATGCTATATAACGTTCACTTCTAATTGTAATTTTAGAACTTTTGGGAAGAAATGTGTAATTACAAACACTAACATATAAATAGACGTTGATTATGGAAAAATTCAACCAGTACAAATATATGTCAGAAAAAATAAATATTCCCCTTCATCACTTCTCAAT